AGAACTCTACCTCATAACCAGTTTAAATATACATAGGCTGTTTTACAGGTAAAAGAACCAAAAATCCTCAGCAAAGATACTTTACCAGGAGAGGGAAGAGGGAGGAAAGAAAAAGCAAAGCATTTTTGAGCCAAGCCAACATTTTTCTTCTAATTTTTTCCTGATTGTAAGAATTACAAAGAAAGTGTGGATAGAGAAAATATTAGACAATAAAACTTACAATAAAGCTTACCACAGGGAAGTTATGAGGACTGAATATGGATACCACCTGCTGCGTAAGTATTGTGAGGTTTTCATAAGATTTCAGATTTTACACAAGAACAAGGAGCACCCTGGCTGGGCTGGTGGCCAGGCTGCAGGCAAAGGGTATTGGAGACCTCAGATGAAGAACAGCTAACTTTGATCACAGTGACTGAGAATTCATTTATTCAAGAAGATTAAACAGCTGAGGTTTTTATGGGTTATGTCCGGTATCACAAAACTGCCAGATGGGCTTGACTGTGGGAAATGAGAACAAAAGGAGTTTGGAAAGAGGGTCTGCTGGGGAGTTCCCCCATCACAACTTCTTCACAACTCAGTAAACATGTGCAATTCAGTGCTTATATACTGGAATTCATTTTTTTCCAGATTTTGAACGTTATTGGTCTGAAGCACAATTCTGAAATACAGTAAGTTCATTGTGGTCCCAAACTCCTACTTTTAGGTGCCTTTGTAAGTCGCACTGTGGTATCACCTGGAGGCTGGAGTTTCATCGCTACATGTGCAGCGCACATGTGATGCCAGAAGACTTGCAGACCTTACAATCAAAGATCAATAAGAAAAGACACATGTGGATAAAAGCACAGGTAGGGGCTGCAAGGCAGTAATAAGTAAGTAAGGCAATAACTGGAGAAGGTAACAGAGTGCTCACACCGAAACCTACCCTAATACTGTTCAACCCCTGTGTTGCTGGCGGAGTGGGTGTTAGATTGACTATGGGTGCAAATACTGCAGCAATCCAGACAGCAGTGTCAGTGGTAAATGGAAATCTGCACGGTGGAACAAGCAATAAAGTAAGTAATCAGATTTTAATAAGAAAATTTAACATTTTTCTAAACTAGGTGAAACTTTATTGAGACCTGATAATCTTTGCAAGCCTAAATAAGCTTTGTGTGTATTTAAATTTTTTTTTTTTAGCATTCTGATGTATTTTAATCCTTGGAGCTTTAAAAATGTTTTGAAGAACAGGCTCACATTCACGCACATTTTCTGCCGTGTTCCAGGCTGTTGCAAGTCCCCCTATTTATGGATAAAAATGAGGCATGTTCTCGAGTATTGCACAGAGGTATATATTATCCAGCAAGCTATGTGACACCTCTGACAATCTGCCTTTTAATAGCTGTTTGCTTGATATTTTCTCTTATTTTAAAGGGGAATTTAATGCTGATCTGAAAATGCTGCTATATTCCCCATCCCCTGGATTCAGTTAACACAGCAGGTGGGAAATCGAGATATTGTGACAACTCTTCTTCCATCTCAAAACCACGTAGCAATTTATATTCCAAAAGGTCTCAAATACTGACGTGATAATTTATAGCATCTTTGAATGCTTCTTTGTACTAGTTAAAAATTCAGACAAACCTAATCTCGCCACAGTCCCTGAAGCTCATGGTGAAAGGCAAAGCTGTGAAAACTTTCTCACCTCAAAGCTCTGTGACTTAAGCAGCAGAGTTCCCATAAGGTCTCTGGAAATGATTACAGGGTTTTTCATGTTGTCACCATGGAAGATAGTGAAAGTGTTAAATCAGTGGGATTTGAAGGATCAAATTCTTACCATTCATAGAAAATGGAACCGCAGTGTCTTCCCTCTGCAGCTGGTATATTTTAATGCTTCCTCCATCGCAGCATCAGCTAGGCTTTTGCAAGTTAAAACGAAGATAGGATTGCACAAACTTACCTGGCGTAGTCAAACAAGGTACACAAGTGCTACCTGAAGCCCATTTTAGAAAATACTTCTTATACTTCATATATGCCTGGAGAGAAATACAGCTTTTTGTATTCAGCAACGTTGTTGTCCTGTTTCTGGCGTGGTTTTTTTTGTTTTGTTTTAGTTTATTTATTTAAGCTACTGCTCTTCAATTGCACTTATTTCAGCAGTATGGGACCAAATTCCTCTGATACAATACTACTGCTATCAGCTAAGCTCACTGTCTGAAAGAGCAAAACCTGGTGAAATGATGAGTATATTATTATTAGTATTATTATCCTAATTTTGAAAGCATCTGTGATCACGGCAAATTATGCTAGAAGATCTGTACAAACTCAGAGAAAAAGATGGTTCCTGCCCCAAAGAATCTGTAGTTTAAGAGAGTCTCACGCTGCATCCCTTCCGGCTCATTGTCTTTCTGGGGTTATGCACTTTGCCTCTTGCAGGATCCTCCCACATATCTAAAACCTCCCTCACCCCTTCAGTGGTTAAATATATTGCGAGCAGCAGGCAAACAAGTTGCCTGTGTGCACGTTTCACGTTGCCGTTTCTCTGATGACCTTCTTTCATGCTCTTTCATCTCTAAATTTAGCTCAGTACTAAACTGGGAGTCTAGCAGATTCGGTGACACAGGAAACACTAATGCAGAGACTGTAGATAATCACTCTTAAAAGGACAGCACAATTTATGAGACAGTGTAATGACTATTCCGTAGCCAAATGAAGTTTATTTTATGAAATTGCACCTTTTCAAGTCTAATAAACCATTACAGACATTCACTCAAGACCAACACATGCAGCACAAAATCAAAAGTATTATTTAAGGGCTGACACCCAGAACTCGGAAATCTGTTCACGTTAGGATCACTGTGTCTGTATTTGAACAGATAACATTGTAACTGCCAGGCACAAGTACACCTTAAATCTGAAATTTAATCTTTCAAATAGCTGCCTCAGTGCCATCTAATGAGGAGAACATACTGGAGAATCACAGGAAACATATAAGAATGTGAAATGAAGTATTGAGATTCAGAAAAGTACTGTACAGATACTGGGACTGTGACTGAGACACAATGATGTGACTATACCAAGTTTCATGAAATTGCAGAAAAGTTATACCACGTTAAATTCTGGTTTGTTATTTTCAGACACAATGAATATGGTAAAATAGGAAATGTTCTATGTTGTTTGGGTGAGATAAACAACAAGCAGTTTTATTCCCTGGATCATATATATAAAAACTGATCTAAATGTTAATAATCTCCATGCTTATATAGATAATGAGATAGTTTTAAAGTTTTTAATCACCCTTGTTCTCAGAAATCATACTTTCAGTATTCTAGTCAAAAAGCTTTCCCTCCTTTTTGAGAAAACAGCACAAGCACAGCCCAGAAAATTTGTTAATTCTTTCTTTAATAAAGCGGGCTAGATGTTCTTCCAGAGTAAAGATACAAAGTTCCATGACTAAATGAATACCCAGTCAAAATACGATACTGCCTTTCTGCAGTACATACCACTGACATGACATGCAAGAGACTTCAAACAGTCATAAATTACAGATGTGAGACAGAGTACAACAGTCTCAGATACATATCTTAATCCCATATTAGTTTTCATCAGTAATTTGCAGTGCATAATTTTTCTATCTGATTATTGTTATCCATGAACATTAAGAGCAGGTCATCTTTGGGGAAAAAGAATAATCTTTTATTTTAAATGACAATTTCTTTCTCGGTATATTCTTAACATAAGGCAAGACAGGGTGATGACTTGACATTTTGTCTAACTTACAAGTCTCTGACTTAATGAATATACAAAATTTTAACTATCTCCGCACTATGATCAAGTATCAGAAACAACATATTTGAGATGTGGAAGGACACGGTATAACCAAAGCAGATCATTTACTGGAAATTGCTCTGATCTTATTTGTATAAGCATCTTTCTGCTTCTGAAGATTTTTATCATATACCACGGCATGACAGGCATTCAGCTCATCAGTATTCACTGATTAGTGAAAACTTGTTAGAAACTCCCAAAATCTTTATATACTTTTAGCGCTGTTTTAAAATATGCAATATTAAAGATACAACTAACTTACAAAAATAAAAGAACTGTACAAATCACACTCTTCCATTGGCAATGAGACTGTTCAAGAAAATAGCGATGTGATCCCTGAAACAAACAACCACAACAGAAATCAAATGACTGATGCTTAAAAAAATAAAAAAAGAAGTAAAAACATTTTCCCCTGCCAAAGTACTGGAATCTTTGAAGGCTTATGTATCACAGAATATAAAACTTTTCTCTCTGTCCCCAGAATATTTCTTTCCTCTTTCCATAGGTACTTCTTGAACAGATTCCCCTTTGTTGGTGGTGTGGCACAAGCCTTGCTGAATGGGTTAAGGCTAGAAAAGCTTGAAAGACCTAAAGAAATCAACAGCCACCTAATCCCCTGGCATTCATGCAAACTCAGGGAAATAAAATAAACCTGAAGACAGGCATGCATGCTGAATTCCGAAGTGATTTTCTATGAAGCTTAAAACTAAATGAAAATAAACACCTCTCTGAAATGTTATGCATTTAAGATCTTTCATCTAAACAGTCATCTGACTGTTCATATCGCTCTGTCACAGAGACGTATGATGCTATGCCTGCTCATAACATTCTAGCATTTTATCATTTTACAAGGCACAAATAATCTCAGAAGAACTACATGGCGGCTTCTGAGCGTGTAAGGATACGTCAGCTACCATGTAATTACATGACAATTCTCTCTTCATTGCAGTCACTGACACAGACCTTGTAAAATCTAAGACCAGCAAACTACATGTCACCTCATCTTTGGAATACAATACTTAACTCACAATAACAGACTAAGCAGCAAATAACTACCATTTCTTAACTCCATACAAACACAAGCTTTGCCATGCAATTATGAAGTTGTTGCATGGTATAACGTATATGTATCTTAAAAGGAAATAACGCAAATTTTTGTCAAATAGTCAAATCTACTATAGTCACTCTACTATAAATAGAGTGACTTTCTAGCATTCCTTCCTCAAGCTAGTTCTGTGTAGGTCCTACAAGAGCAGGTGTCCACTCACCACCAGTTTCTTTTTGTGGATTCCAACAGAGTTTAAAGGGATCAGCAAGCAGCCTCCCCCCCCCCGCCGTATCTACTTGAAAAAACTGTTATTAGATGTACTATGTACTTGATGGGAAAGAAATACACTTTTCCATAGAAGAACACGTTCTAGAGTTAATTAGAAACTTTCTGTTGGTTAACACTGCCGCACCATTATGTTTTTCTTGACTAGAAACGTGGAAATCATATAGGAATATATGTAAACAGAGTCTATAGAAGATAATAGTAATGAGACATAAAGTGCTTTTAATTATGAACATTTCATTTCACTTTGCACCCTTCCCTGGTAAGTTATCATACTCAAGCTAGTTTTAGTTCAACTGGTTCAGGTCTACACTATGAAATACTGTAATTTCCCTTGCACGTACTGTTTTAACTGTGGTCATCTCATAAAATAAAAATGCCAGGGGGAGTAAAAGTAGACAGATACAAAGAGGGAAAGAGGTGAACTGGGAACTCTCAAGGGGAAAAAAAGTAGGCAAAGGGAAATATGGCTCTGTTGTATAGGTCCCCGTTCTCAAGGAATTTGTCACACATTCTCCTGTAAGACAGCGCTGAGGAACAACTACACAAACCTCTGCCTTGAACACACCTCAGGCTACTGCCGGATGAAAATGAAGAAACCAGGATTCCTCAACTGAGAACAAGCTTACTGCCAGGATGATGCTTTTAATCTTTCTGAAATACATCCCCTACTTCTCTAGTCACAGTCTCTGAAGAAACAGTACCCTTTCCTACTCAGAAAACCCAGTTGAGCATATTTTGCAAAAGGACGATATTAAATCTAGCTTGTCTTTGCTGCTTCAGGTCTGATGCCAAGTTTCTACACATTTCCTAATACATTATGGTACCTAGCACATACTATTCTATGTTTTGGGAAAGCAACAGTTCTATAGTAACAAAGCTCCTAAGTAAGATAACTCTATAACAAAGAATAACTGTATATTAGAACCGGGTTTTACTGGGTCTTTATTTAAGGCAGTTATTAAAAGGCGTCTATTCTTTTGGAAAAGTTGCAAATTTGTGGGTTTTGGTTTTTGGGTTGGGTTTTTTTTTTTTTAATTTAGGCTTTTGGCAGCTGAAATGGGTTACCTTTATCTATTTTCTGTACTTCTAATCCAAAGAACTATCCAGCCTGTGGAATCGTAAGAATTTGAGCTGAGGTGTAACGACCGACCTCTCAAACTCTCCCAACCTGTTTCTTTAGATGTCCAGTGGGCTGACAATAGCAAAGTCAGAATCTTTGCTGTTATTACTACTGTCGTCATCAGGGCTGGAGCTCAGGTTGCTGGAGGAGGCTGAAATGGAGCCCATCAGTGGGTCAGAGAATATCAAAGAAGAACGAGGAGGAGCTTCTGGCTTCACTGCTGCCTCCTTGTGTGCCTGATGGGACTGCGCTGGCTCCGGGACAGCACTTCTACTTCCTTCCTCTTCTTTGGAAACCATAATATAGTCATCAGCACTCTTGCTCTCACTAGTGCTCGAATCAGTCATAGTCTGTGAGACAATGGCACAGAAAGGACTTAAAGTTAGTACCAATTTTGCCACTTAACATGGTTTATGATGCACGTCAGTGATATCGGAATGGGATAAAGGAATAATCATTATCCAGAAGTAGCAATGCCCAAATCAAGAAGTAAAAAATAAAGTGGGTATTAACTTTGGATGAAATAGTTTATTTGTTATCTACAAAAGCATAAAAGCTAACACTGTAAAAATACATGATTGGGTATAGCAGCCTTACATGTTTCATCATTATAGTGCATCCATGTCATGATCACAGCAGCTAGGCATCTAACACATACATTACAGTCATGCAGATTTTCAGTAATTATATTCTCAATGCTGTTAGTTTTCTGTAGTAATTCATGAAGTAGTATTGAGGAATTTTTTTCCTGTTTGCATGTACAATGGCATTTTGGAGCTTGTCAGGAGAATGGTTTGATATAAAATTTCCTAGTAAAACCGTGACCTGTGGCATCTGAGCCGTACATAGACCTGGTTTAGTGTGCACCAGTTCAGGTTCGGCAGATCAGGGCTCCCAGGGCTTCTAGGCTTAGCATCATCAAGTATTTCCTAACTACCAGAAAACGAGGGTCCGGGAATCCCTCTTCTGCCTGGTTAGACCTTGGGAAATGTGTGTCCCTGAGCACTCAGGTAGTGGATTAAGACTACACGTCAGCATACCAGAAAACTCTCTATGAACTGGCAATCTTATATTCCAACTAGCCATACTCAGGAGAAATCCAGCTTTTCAAGAGTCAGAGCTATATGTAATTAGAAGAGAAGACTGCCATATTCAGCAGAGTGGGATTTCTCACTTGTTGACAGCTGGCAGCCTATTAGCTTGGTTGCAACCCAAATGGACAACACTGTTTTCTTGTGCAAGAGATGCATTCAACTCCTATCTAGCACTATGTTCCTCTGACAAGAATATGACTGCCTTCTTAGTTGCTGTCACACAAATTTTTTCAGCATAATAATGCAACCTGCCAAGCAGCCTATGGGGACAGGCATCCTGCAGTGGTGTTATATTGAAACCAATATATTTGATTACACTAATGCGAGACTGAGAAAAAGGAGAAGAAGTAGAGGGGCAGCTGGGGAAATCTGTGTGTCAACATGTGTGTCAACTACAAGCCCTTCAGCTGTGACTCTTTCACCAAACAAAAAAATGTAAATTCACTTTGGGGTAAAAGAGAGATTGTAGGTATTAGAGAAAAAAAGAAAGCAGTAAAAAAAAGAACAGGAAGAATCTGAATGAGATGAAGTTAGACCCTCAGCACAGTATATAAAATTGGAGTATGGAGGTCATCACAAGTATCAGCAAGCCACAACTTGGTGTTACGGTATCCATGGCCTCCAGCAAAACTTACTTTGCCGAATTTATTATTACAGCTGAAAACAATTTTCCATTGCTCTGATTACTGATTATAAAGCAGAACAACTCTCTTGAAAGGGAACTGTAGAGTAGCTCAGGGAGCAAAACCCACCAGTGATTAAGAATGACTGTAACATGAAACGAGGGAGCTGGATGTCTTTGGTTGTTATTTACATGGTAGTTCCAAATCATTAAAAGTCACAAACAAGGTAAGTATCATCTGAATGTGAAAATATGTTCAAATACAGAACTGTGACCTGTTCCCTTCCAAAATTTATATGAATGAGGATTCAAATATCTCCCTTTGCAGTAGATTTTTAAAACATCCTCTTTTTATAATTTATAATTTTGTGTGTGTTATCTAGATAGTATCTAGGTATATAATATATAATTATTAAATATATATATAGATAATATATTATTATTGTGTAGGTATAATAGTATATAGTATTCTGTTTTGTAATTAACCGATTTTAATACTTTCTCATTCATCTTAAGTCCAGAGTATTGGTTACAATTTTAAAGGTCCCAATGTAAGACAGTTGTTAAACTGATAGAAATTTACATCTATTATTTTGAAATACTAATTCATTTTCCTTAGATAACCTAATAAAATTCATACCAAACCGAGCAGGTTGCTTTTAAAAATATCAACAACTATCCTGTGCTGAGTGCTATCAAAACTGATCTCAAACTTCCTGATCTGCGCAGAACCAGGGTAATTCAAATGTCAACAACTTCAAGCACTTTCCATGAAGTTAAAAACAAACAGATCTATCCTACAAGGAGGGATACTTCACTATTGAAGCACTTCTGAGCTGAGACACCATTTGTTATTAATTAGCCTTTTGCTTTCATCTGGTCTGTTTGAAATGCTGTCTTCATAAACTGTCAGTCAACCAGCTGCCATCTCCAGAGGGCCGAGGACACAGGCAGGGCTCAATCGTGGCTCTGCTCCACCAACGTGTTAGTAGTCGCCTGATTTTGTAGGCACTGCGTGCAGCCACACAACAGGGCCAGGTGAGGCTTTTTTGGGAGCTCTAAATGCCATGTTCAAAATTTCAGCATTTTGTTCTCTCCCCCGCCGGACAACAGAAATATATGTTCCTTTAAATAACTGCCATTGCATAATTCACCTGGCTTCTTTCCACACTTCTATTTAAAAGCTCTCAGGGAACGCAGTACAGTCTAATTTTCCAAAATTATACACTTTATTATTCCAAACTATCAAGATCACGCTATTTCAGTCTTTGCAGCCCTCAAATCCGAGATGGCTCCACCTTGCGTAGGGTGACACAGATGTTACCTAGTGACACCCTCGCCCAGCGAGATCGGTATTTTCCTCGCTGGCACCGCCAAGGATGCTAACGGGGTGTCTTCCTTTTGGCAGCGAGCCCCATCAAGGTCCCTCTGTCACACATACTTTGTGCTGGTGTTGCAATTTCCTAAATTCTGCTTTCAAAAATGTGCTCTTGCGCAGTTAAAAAAAGCATCCTGCCCTTTAATAAAGGGAAAGGAAAGAAAACTACTCACCCCAGTTTCTTGTCGTTACCTGTTGTGCTTTGCAACACTACTTTTCATTCTACCCACACTTTTTGGTTCAGTTAAAGAGACCTATAGCTCACTGAAGTATCAGAGAAGCAGCAAAGCATAGATACTGACTCCAAAATGCTATAAAAGGGCCTCCCATAAATGTTTGCCTATCCCTGGCATACATTGGTATTTTGGTACTGATATTTCCAGAGGTAAAATACCTCCTCCCTTCTTCTTCTGCCTGTTTCTGTTTCAGGAAACTCATGCTGACGTGAACTGTGTTTTCTCCCATCTGCTGTCACTACTGAATAAATGAAAAATGACAGAATTATACTTCCAGTAGCTTTGAAAGTTAACAACCTTACGCCTGTTGCCATATGGCTTCTCCATACATTTTTTTCCTGATGAATATCAGCTACTAGGACCAGGCTTATTTCAATTGCCTTCATACTGTGAATGAGTTAAAACTAACTGTAAGGATACAATTCAAGAAAGCTTAGAAGAACAGCAGCTCATTTTGCCTCCTTCTTTGAACAGACATCAAGGCAAGATAATGTGTTAATTATCATTCATTATTTAGCAACAGAAGCCTTCTGTTTGTCAACTGCACGCTGCTACCAAAGCCAAACATTCCAAAAAATGCTCTATTTCTTCGAGCCTTTATCTTAATTTTTTTGCATTTTTAATTTTGCAGCTTTCCTTTCCAAAGAAGGGCTGTATCCTTATTCTCACTTTCCAGAAAGGGATTTTGAGGCAAAAAAGAGGAAGAGCACTTTTAAAAAAAGTAAAGATGATAAATAATTTATACTTATATAACAACCAAGCACAAAAGACCAGATTTTAATCTCAAGTACACGATAGCTACACCTGTAACTTTTCCAGCTGTCCTAGAAAATATCCCTATAATTCCATCACAGAAAAATCTCTACAGTGTAAGTCACATCAAACAGAATTACATGCATTACCAAAGTCACAAAAAATGTAAATACAGTAAAATTTATTTAGCAAGAAATGCATTAAATGGTCTAGAAGTGGTTGGAATTTTTAATCCCCCTGCAGCTCTCAGTAAGTACTCCCGGCTTGACCCAGGGCATCAGTGCAGCCCATTTTCTTCAGCAGAGCTAAAAGCCTGCCTGGGCTGCGGCCCACTTTGGGCCAACAATTGACCCCATCAATTAACAGTCGAATGTCACAGCCCACTAAATTCAGCAGGTTTATTTTCCCGTGTTTTATTAAAAGGGCTCCAAAGCTCTCCTCTTTTTGTTTGATTTTAGACATCGTGGTTGAAGACGATGGGCTTGGAAACTGCACAGACCGTCGGGATACTAACAGTCCTCCTGGACTGCCATTTCTAACTCTCTTCTTTTTCTTTCTGTCATAGGGGCTGCTGCTCATTATCATAATTGGAACTTCCAGAAGATAAGAGGAGAGGAGGCTAATCCGTATGAATGTATTGCACCTCCAAACATAGACCATACAGTGCTGAAGCCTACTTAATGCTCTGCAGGAGCTCAGCTTGTACAACCTCTACTCATGTTGCTCGTAGTTGGCTTACTAGCAGCCTCATGGAGTACATGGAAACTGTGGGACCCACGGACACCTCTCAGCTCCTGTGGCTGGATGTATACTTTGACTACACACTGGGTGAGACCTCATTACACATCGCCCTGCAAATTTCCATTGGAAAGAAACCTGCGCAGACCAGGCTTCACCTGCTCCACTCCCAATACTCGAAGCACAGCGCCCCAGCGCCTCTGCTCAGTGACACATGCTTTAGACCAGCATCTGAGTAAGGGCTTCTCCAGCATGAGTAGGGCCTGCACACACTCATACAGCACGTTGTTATCTCATATAGCATTCTACCTTCCAGTTTCTACAACAAATCCAAGTAAAAATAATAAAAAAAGTAGTATTTGCCATTTTGGCAAGAAAGCAAGATACGTTGTATAAAATGCCGGGAGATAAAGGGCAAAAATAGGTCATTATATGAACACTCCAATGTGCTACATCAGTTTAACCTATGCCTTTATTATGGCAGAAAGTAGTGATTGTAATGACAACAGCCAAAGAAGCAATGAAAGCTTTCTAGCAAAGCTTTGCTCTTTGAACCTGCCGTTACTAAGTAAAGAAAAATAATCTCACTATTGCTTCTAATACTGAAATACAATTAAATACGATTTTTAACAGCGTATGCTAACTCAAGGGGATTATGTGTAATAAATCAAAACAACCCTGTGTTACTATTTGAAAATGAATAAATATTTCCTCTAGTTCCTAACTAAATTTGTCAAGAGTAAACTGATTGCAGACTCAGTTGGACTCCGAGGTGTTAGTGCTACTGCTGGATTTATGAGTGTGAGTATCAGTATTGGGGTCACAGACTGAACTTTAGAACTCTAATATTGAAAATGATATAGACATGTGCATATACAAAAGTACTTGTTTTTAGGATCACATTTGAGTCAGACTGAGTCTTAGACAGCGAGGGACCTTTTAACATGAAAGGAAAATACCTCTTCCTGTGTGTGAACTTGTCCTGTGACTGTATGCTTTGTACATGAAAACATTGTTTACTGATTTCAAGGAGAAAGTCAATACAATGGAGTAGAAAGTAAAAGCAACCTCCCCGCTATTTTTTTTTTGGCACTGGCCATGGATACACTGCAATGCAGATAATCAGCTCTTACATAATGGGATTCTGGAGGACAAGGACAATGAGAATAATCAACTGATACAGGAACATTTACCTCCAGTTTTTACATGCTTTTGTAGGAAATTAATCCATGATCCTGTGATTCAACAATCTGAAAGAAGAACCTCCCCAAACACGGTGTAACACTTAGACTTAAATATCTGTGTGTTGACCATAAGGCTACAATAAAAATAATTGATGGGATTAGGACAGTAGCTAGAGAGAAACTTTTAACCATGGCTCCATATGCACCAGGAATGCTGGTGTGTTCCCACATAATGTCTGGACATGCTAAAGTAAGTCTCCAAAAAATATCAGACTAATTCCACCGATGACCTGTTTGAGATATTTTTATCTTACCTGTCGTCCTGAGATGAACTGTTGTTTTGTCATAACAGGTCCCTTTAGGACATCACCTGTCCCCTTGTTCTGACTGTTGGAACAGTAATGATCATCGGCTATCGTGATTTGCTCATTTTCTTCAGCTTCCAGCTGGCTCTGGTTGAAACGCAGGGAACCTTTCAAGATGTCCTTGATCTGTTGTTAGATGGGAGGGGAAAGAATGTAGGTTAGAAATTTGGAGAAATTCTAAATTTTCTAAAGCTCTGTGCAGCATGCTTTCATACACCATTTCCCCCAAATATTTGCTTTGAAGAGAGGAAGCAAGTCAATATTCATACCTATATTGGCTAGAGATATAAATATCAGTGAAATGTGATTGTATCAGAGTCTGGAAAACACGTATCCAAGAAATCTAAAGAGAAACTGCTAAGATTATTCCCTACCTCATTATAGATTTAACATATGTCACATCATTCCTGATAAAACGTATTTTGAGGGAGCAGAGGACAGTATAATCAGAGCTACAGATGCTCAGCGGCATTCTTATTTTATGTATGTAGTATTTTTTCTTTTAATTCAATAACATTCAAGTGTCATCACATTTAAATAATGGGGACATAGGCATGATTATTGCCTAGCATGTACACTTTGCATTAAGAAAAATGATGGTGAGGCTTAAGTCCAGAACTTGGTGCCTCAGTTCTGTCTTGAGGCCTCCAGAACTTTTCAGGGAGCAAACACCATGCAAGTCATTTGAACTCTTTATAGCTGAGTTCTACCTTTTAAAATAAAAGTACGCCCCAATGCTTGATGCATTAGTATTAGTAAAACAGCTACAAGACAAAACAGCAGTATACAAAAAGAATAAAAAAGGAGAAAAAAAAAAAGAAAGGATTAATAGCAGAGGGATACAAGAAGGTTAAATTAAGCAATAGTTATACCTGCTTCAAACCAGCCAAGGAAACCAGAATTTCATCTTCTTTTTCCAAGTGTTCTTGTAATATGACTTCCTGAATATTTCCTGCAACATCAAAAGAAAAAAAAGGTAAGGACAGAATATTCCCTAAATAATCTCTAATGTGCTGCCAACTTACTGCTGACTTATGCTCTCACAACAAAATCCTGTGACCTGCAAACACAATTTCGCAAGCAGACCTAGAGGCTGACAACCTTATTAGCTGTGGAGGTGAGGCCAGCCCAAGCCCGGCACTGCTGCCAGGAGGCCTCCAGCAACGCTGTGCTGCTGCGGGACTTCTACTGCCCCAGTGTACCAATGGACTCAGGCTACTACTGACCCCTAGAAGAAAACACAGGCCTCTCTGGCTAACGGAGTTACATATGTCTCAGCCGGCAAATGCTTTGGAAAGCATTCAAGAACATTTACAGGGATCTGCTGCAGCTTGCAGAAAGGGTTAGGGTAGGAGCTCAGCAATCTTCATCTTGTTCCTGTGGCCACTGCAGATGCTAGAACGCTCTTCGTTATAAAAAGACTGAAAGTTTCGTTCCCTTTCCAATCCCTTCTTTTAGGTAAAAGACCCAGGGCTGAGCAAAATTATTTGACAGAAAGAGCAGTGCAGTACCGTCACTTCAGAAGACACCTGCCTTCCATATCTACAGTGCTGTCCTCCACGGATGCATTTCAATAATCTGGTATAAGGTGTTTGCAGGAGTCAGGGCTGGAGGCTGGCTAACACATCAGAGCTGGGGCTGTGGTGGTCTTGCCTGTGTCAGGGAAATCCCAGGCGATGCTGCAGTCCAAACAGCCCAGAGAAACTATAGCTCCAATAGCTCTGCAGACTCTTTAAACTATGTCAGGTCCCTCTCCAGCCTCCTAGCTCCTACCTTCCTCCTCAATTCTTCAAGAAAACAGCAATGATTCCCAGTGACAGATTTACAGAATGAGGTGGTGTCTGTCAACTGAAAATGAAAGGTTACTCTTTTGTGCCCCTCCTGTTCTACATAGAGCTGAGCCCAAATCCCTCAGTGACACTCATTTGGGAACAATGCTTTGCTGCTCATGAATATCTGTACCCCAGGTGCTTCACAATTAGAGCATTGTACCATTAATCCACACCTGCATTGCATTTGTTTGTTTTTAAAAACATCCCAAACCAGTGAAAAGCCAAAACTGTTGTCACAGATTATGCTGACAAGGATGAATACGATGACACTGCCAAATTTGACGCAACATGGTTTCAAGTAAAAGCATTGAGCAATTTGGCGTAAGTTTTGTGTTTACAGAATAAATAGCAAAAGAATGAGATGTGGGAGACTGGACAAGAAGAAAGATTAAAAGTAGAGAGGTGGATTTAAAACCCACATATAAACACAGAAGTTTGAAATTGTGTGGAGGCCAGGAATCAGTAAAGGGGATAAAAGAAGCATGAAAAGGGCAAAGAGGAGAAAGGATCCAAGCCTAACCACTAAATGAACCGCTAAAGAAGCAATCTGAAAAGTAGAAGACACGAAAGAGGCTAGAGCCACGAAAGGCAATAGATGATAAGAGTCCATGAAATGTGGTGTGATCAAGGTCAAGAGCAACAGTGGGGGTAGGATAACTCAGCTTTGTGTTAGCCTATCTGAACAAGGAGATCCATGTTTACATTATTTAGCACCCATTATTTACCATATTACAGCGGCAGTGTCCTGCAAAAAGTCAAACATAGTACAATTGAACAATGTCTAGCATAAATCTTACGTCAGAAAGACACTGCATTATGAAGGCTAGAAATAATATAAAACTAGATCTTTCCGCAAATATGGAGCATCATGAATTGAGAGAAAGCATAATTAATTCAACATTTTACTTGCTTTTTTACATTTTACATCTAAATTGTCTAGTGTCTCAATTTGGTAAATAAAATATATTAATATTTACTTATAAAATAATACTTTAGATCCTGATTTCCACTGTTTAACAAACAATGCATGATTTCCTACTTTTAAAATGTTCAGAACTTGAAACATCAGAAGTCCAAAGTCTTCACAGGCAGGAAAGCAATGCTTAATGACAGCCTGATCACTGAATTCAACTGTCTCTTCCATTTCGCAGCATTTGAAAGAAAAGCATTTCTATAGTGTTTGATCCCCACATAAATTAAACCCATACATAAAAAAAATAAGGTATGCATACTGACTAAGCAGATGGATGAAGAAAATAATTCAAAACAAACCTCCAACCTGCTGAAGACCAAATGAGGGAAAACTAAAAAATCAGGAAAATAAGAGTGAGACAACAAAAGCTGAAAAGCATTCCATGTGATGTGGAAATAATCTACTATTATTTCTGTTCTTTAGAGATGTTTTATAAGTCAGTATTTCAAAAAAATGGAAAAAAATCTGTCATTGCTACAAATCCAGCTGTAACTGTGTTTGAAGAGCCAGTACATTGAGAAATGTCTAAGAACTTATGAATGGAACAATGATAGTTAGCCAGCAGTAAAGATCAATAAAAATGTTCATACCATCACATATTTGCTTTACAAAATATAACAAAATTTTCTAATACCTAACTGTTGAATTTCTCACATTTTTCCTTCAATTTGCAGTATCTTTAAAGTACAGTATGACATATGTCTTGGCTATATAGGGTCTATTATTTTTAATCAGTTAAAATCACTAAAATGTATTTTGGAAAAATTTCTACTCAGAGTTTGCTAAGACACAACTTTAGACTCAAAGAGCACACTTCCACTTAACCAGAAAAATGCCCCAAGATGCAAATCGCTGTAATCAGCCACTCTCCCCCCCCAGTAAGTAACAGTTGTGACCCAAGGTCGTAAACTGGGATGTCTTTCTCTAGTACAATGAAACAGAATGAAGGTTTCCACGTGGAATTGGCAATGGATCTTTCTTCTAAATATGCCCTTGAACTGCAAATGGCTTCTAATCTACTACCCTCATCCCTTTTGAATGCAGAGTTTATTATCCACCAAATAAGCGCTAAATATGGAGTCCAAATTTATCAGTCCTCATTCTTTTTCCCTGGCTAATGAGTAGAGAGGAGTTAAAAAAAAAGTAATTCCTTAGACAAGTGAAACATACGGGCAATGTGATTTTGCATGAGTGCCTCCTCAATCACATCCTCCTGCTGGGACCACCCTTCGCAATCCATGTGGACTGGAAGCAGAGGTGGGAAGAAGAGGAGGGACGGCAAGCGACTCGGTACATACCTCCGCAGCTGCACCACTGTGAACAGCTGTGCCAGGGCTCAGCAGTCCTTCCCTGAGGGACTTTCATCCAAGCCTCTTCCCACTGCTGGGGGGACCTCATGGGGCAGTCAGTTGCTGAGAAGAACTGGGAAACTAAGCTCTTAAGTGCAGACAAGAGCTTTTTATTTTACCCTTCTGTATCTCAGAAGATACCCTTGTAATTGTAAATACTTTTAAAAACACTAACTCTGTTAAGAGTGCTAGGAACCATGATATTAGATAAGATATCGCTCAGCTGAAGGACTTTTACATTAAACATTTAATTGTTCTTCCTTCATAGATGTTACTATATTTTGAGAGAAGCGCTTTATGTATATAAATGAATTGGCTATATATTGACTTTTTTTCCTTATCTGATGCTCTGTATCAGTACCTCACAGCTTTAAGTAATATATTTTTATAAAACAATAAACATCTTTTTGAAATGCAGATATCAATTAGGAACTGAAAACACCTTCCTACCTGTAAAACAAACATTGATACAATGAATCAAAAAAAATTGATTATATGATTTCTACATTGTTCAAAACCCAGTCCAGTTTGAGTCTACACTATAAATATCTATCTTATTGGGATAGCTGTTGTCATCCAAAAGTTAACAAAATCCTATGGTACTTAGGAGACTAAGGCTAAGGTCAAATATTTCTGGCTACCTTTTTTTTGTTGTTTTCTTTCATCAAGATTTCATTTAGCTGATGCCAAATACTTTCTGCAGAAAAAGAAAATATTTCTGTCTCAGTGAAGTTCTTACCAGAGGAAAACAAAAGGTGAATTTTGCAACCTGTCACCTGCTGGTCGGAGGACCGCTGTGAGATGTAGGAGATCCCAGACAGCCATTATATGATTCTGGATTTGTTTCAACGTAGTACTAACAAACCTCTAAGTTTCACAAAATGAACTGTCATACCCTAACTGTACTCTTGACTAAGACTCAGAAATACTGGAGCTGTAAAACCAGTTGTTCTCTTCAGAAGTCAGCAATGTTATCCACTGTTATGGCTGCCCTCAAACAAGACTCACAACCCAAGGGGGGCCTTTTACATAATTGATTAGAATAATTTTGGGTACTTATTGTCAAATGAGCAGATTCATTTAAGTTTGATAGATACTAGATCAGTAAATCAATAACTACTTCTTCAGCAAGACTGTGATCAGCTGCCTTGATACGCTTTAAAGCCAACTAACCACAGAGGAATAACATGCAAACGATTGCATTCCTGTTCTTCTTTTCTACAAAAAATAGAAAAACAATGTATCAAGTAGTGACTCGGGTAGCAACAGGCTAGTTGAAACAGCTAAGAATTAAGATGAAATGTATTTTTCATTTCTTGCCCTTACAGTTATCCCAAATTGTAAATAAGTTCACATGCAAACTCACTGTAGAAGTATTTTTTAAAACATCAAGATTTCTATTTCCTCTCCCTAACTTAATTTCTAAAATTTAAACTGAAGACATGCTATCATCCTCTGTATAGAGATGAAAGAGGAAAATAACCCACAGCAGCTCCTAGCAGGAAAATTAGAGAAGGCTTATGTTCTTTGATGACTGAACTGCTACATATTGCATGATGGTGTGTGCAGTCACTGCTGAGTTCCCTAGCCAGGGAAAGGGGCTGTTCAAAACTTTCCTCTCTGAATGTGGAAAAGCTGTTAGGCTTGGCCTAATTATTTTAGAGGCTTATTAAGTAAACTAACTTTCGCTGAAAATTTCGCATGCATTCAACACAGATTCTGCAAGAAACCCACCCAGAGCTGCGTCAAATGAGTGGGAAAACTAGTGTCCTGTAGACAAGGTCGTCTCAGGCATCCC